TGTCCCATCACCTCCTGGCAAAGAGAAGGGGAAGATATGGAGGCAGTGAAAGATTTTACTTTCTCCGTGATCACTGCAGATGGTGACAGCAGCCCTGAAATTAAAGACACCTCCTTCTTGGGAGGAAAGTGAAGACAAACCTAGACAGCATCTTAAAAAGCAGAGACATCACCTTGCCAACAAAGGTCTGCATACTCAAAGCTATGGTTTTCCCTGTAGCAATGTATGGGAGTGAGAGCTGGACCATAAAGAAAGCTGGCCACCAAAGAATTAATGTTTTTGAATTGTGGTGCTGGAGGAGACTCTTCAAAGTCCCCTGGACTGCAAAGAGAACAAACCTATCCATTCTGAAGGAAATCAACCCTGAGTGGTCACTGGAAGGACAGATCCTGAAGCTGAGGCTCCAATACTTTGTGAGGTGTCCAAGTTTGCAGATGACGCAAAACATTTTCAGGTGATGAAGGCCAGAAAGGATTGGGAAGAGCTCCAGAAGGATCTATCCAAACTGTGAGAATGGGTGGCAAAATGGCAAATGTGTTTCAATATAAGAAAATGTAAAGTAATACATTGGGACAAACAATCAAAACTTTAGTGATCAACTAATGGGTTCTAAGCTGTCTGTGATGGATCAGGAAAGAGATCTTGATGTGCTGGTGGACAGCTTGATAAAAGTGTCAGCCCAGTGTGCTGCAGCAGTGAAGAAGGCCAATTTCATGGTAAGTATCATTAAAAAGCGGATTGAAAATAAAACAGCCAACATTATAATGCCAATGTACAAAATGATGGTAAAGCCACACCTGGAGTATTGCGTACAGTTCTGGTCGCTGCACCTCAAAAAATACATAGTGGAAGTGGAAAAGGTGCAGAAGAGAGTGACTAAAATGAGCCTGTCTGCCAGCTGGAAGGCTGCAGTTCTGGAGGGAGGGTGCAAGAGGTGCTGTCTTGGGGGAGAGCAGGCGAGAGAGGTGTGCTGCCAGCCCTTTTCCCCGAGCGCCCAAGCCGCCGCTGAGCAGAGCTCGCACCCAACCTATACTCGAAGAGTGCCTCCAAGCCACCAACAGCAGCTGCCACTGCCTTTCCAGGGAAGTGGCTCTCTGGCTCTCTTCCTCTCTCAGCACCCCCAGCACCAGCATGGCCAGTGGCCACCTCGGCACCAGGCGGTGCTTCCTCCTCCTCTTCATCCTGCTTCAGCTGCCTTGGCTCTGGAGGCTGTCTGGGCTTGCCTCACAAAGTTTGTTCCTCTGTCGTGGTGGGGGTAGCTGCTGCTGAGTGCACCTTTTTTTGAGGGAGGCCCTCAGAGGAAGGTTGCTGGACCTCCATGTGTGTGTGTGTGTGTGCACGCGCATGCACCTGTGCCCCCCATTCTGTTTAATTTCACGGGTACCGGTGAGGGCCTTTCTCCTTTGGCAAGGTAAATTCTATGAGGGTTTTTAAAAAAAATATATTATGTCGTGCCCTCCTCCCTCCCGCTAAGCAGTCGCCGGCACTCCCTCCCTTCTCTGCATCTTCATCCTGGTGGTGGTGGTAGTGAAGAAGGAACCGGAGGGGGTCATGGCCAGCTACGAGGACTTGCGCCCCCCACTTCCTCCTCCTCTTTCCCCTCGGAGCCCCAGCCAAGCTAAGGAAACTCCTGGGCGGCATCCTCGGGCTCTTGCTTCGCTTGGCGGAAAATATGATGCGGCCCAGCCTCATCCAGACTCTGCCTCCAGTGGCCCCCAGGTAAATTGAGTTTGATACCCCTGTTCTAGAGCATCTTATACATATTTTCTTTGTATAGTTGTTTAGCTATTTCTATCTCCACATTTTCTATCCTGTCTATAACAATATCATATTTAATGCATGTTCATTATGTACAATTTGTTTAAGGTAAAGGTTCCCGTTGACATTTAGTCCAGTCGTGTCAGACTCTAGGACACGGTGCTCATCCCCATCTCCAAGCTATAGTCAGTTTCTGTGGTCACGTGGAACGCCGTTACCTTCCTACCGTGGTGGTACTTATTTATCTACTCGCATTTACATGCTTTTGAACTAATAAGTTGGCAGGTTTGTTTACCCCAACCTTATATTTAGCTTCAATTTACCTTTAAAAAACAACAACATATTATGTCTTTACCCTGATTAGTGCTCTCTCATTTCAGTTTAATTCTCTCTTTTAATATATAAGATAAGCCCCTTTGAAATTCTAGAAGTTAGGTATATACATGCTTTCCAACATAGAGGGCCACCTTCGTATTTTTCCCTTTTTCATCTTTCTATGTAATTCTTTCTCTTAATCTTTTTTCAATTTTTGTTTCTGTCTTTCTAAAAATTCTGCCATCTTTTGTGTCCTCTGAGGCCATTTTATGCATTTGTTTTACCTCCAATAGATCTTTATACATTTAGTCTATCTCCAATAGATTTTCCAGGCTATTTTTAATTGATTCTAATGATTTTCTCCCCTTATCTTCCCTTAAAACTCTCCCTCAACTCCACTAGGTTTTCTCCATTAATTTCCTCCAGCCTTTCTTTAGGTTGGCATACATCATCCACCTCCCCCTCATTCCCTTGTTCATTATTTCCTATCTCCTGTTCACTATAAGTCTTCTTCAACTCCGCTGTGAATAATTTTGCCTGTTCATTGTGGGATCTCACTATTTCTAAGATTGCTTGAAGGGTAGATTTTGTTTCCTCCCAAAGTAGTCCTTGTTGTGTCATTATGTTCCAATTGTCAAAAAAATTGTATTCCAAGTTAAAGTTGTACATATGCTTAAATTAATCAATACAGTTCCATTAAGCTTGAATCCAGTCTCCGACACAGAGAATTTTCCATGTCTAAAGGCTCAAGGTCCCATCCAGTTCAACATCCAGGATACAGTTTATAAGTTCCACTTTGGCTAAATTAGGCTTTCTAGGGTTTATTTGTCTGTAATTCAGTTCCGTCCTCAGAGAGAAAGGGAGTTCCAAACAATCATAGAACATTTAAGGCCATTGATTCTAGGCATTGTGGCAGTGCCTTAGATAGCTGTTACACATAGCATAAACATATTTTTTCCAAAGTTGTTACCAGCAGTGTTTCCAGGGAAAAAAATTCTTAAGTTTTAATACCAAACTTCCTTTAAGTATAATTAAGTGTCTAATTAATGCCCAATTTATTTTCCTTGTGTCTCCCTCCATCTCTTCCTCTCCCCAGCTTCTCTGACTGCAGCTCAATCAACGATGATAGAAAGCTATGAGACGCTATTTCTGCCGTAGAAATTGTCTTGTCCAGGGATAGTAAATAGATACAGTTTTTAAAGATGTTTCTCACCCATTTGTAGCACGATGTTAATCAGGCTGCTTTATCACTTTTTCATACCCGGCTGCCGACAACTTGCAAGCAAGCTAGTTCAGCTGCTTGTTTCCGCCCACTGGTTGATTGGGGAGTTTTCTGGATCAAACATGGGTAATCGCCATTCCTCCGTGATCAACAGGTTTCTCCCGTTTCACCACCTCTTCAGGGTGGTTTTAACCCCATGGCGGGTCCCAAACAAGTTGGAATTCAGCCCAGGAGATGGAGCCCTAACCTCCTGCTGCTATCTCGTCGCAGCGTCAAGCCGGAAGTCTATTTTCATAAATTTTTCAGTGTTTGAGCCTACAGTTATCTGCCTCACAAATGTAAGACTGTCTTTAATATTTTTTTGGATTTGCTATTTTTAAATATGGAACCTAGAAATAGCGTTTATAAGGAAAACTAGAGACAGACACATTTTAGCATTGCTTGGTATTATTGCAACAACGAAGATATTTATTATTGGATACCTAGATGAGTTTGGAAAAGCTTGTCACTGTCTAGTTTCATTCTGAGATTAACCCCTTACTTGGGTAATGACAGCTATGACAAATCATAGGCTTTTGTTCTTTGCCTGGGAGATAAGTAAATCTCTACAGGAGTCCTGGGGAAGTCAGGCATTCTTACCAGGTTCTGACATCTCCATACAGTAGCTGCATATGGCAACCTGAACATTTGGGAGACAGCCCCGTGTTTAGTAATATTTGAACATTCATTGTCTAGTGTCAGATTTTAACCTGGTTATCTCATTGAGCAATAGAGTCAATGGAAAAATTATGATCGCTAAATATTTCTACACCTGCAACTGTGAGTTTTCTGCATAAGAAGAGTCAGAATTGTATGGTCGTACCAGGTTGACATAAACTGCCATGGCTAATTGATATTAACAGACAAGAAGTTCGGATGGGTCTTAATTAGAGATGGACACAAATAATAATAATGGTGATTCATAATTCATCAAGGTTAATGAATCACAAATTTACATTTTTTTCAACAAATTGATTCATCTTGACTTTAATACCCTATAAAATGGCCCTGTAGCAATTGGCTCCGAGAAAATTTCAGCACTCCTGCAAGTCAGTTGCTAAAGGGCACTTTTCTGGGGGCACCAACTTCGTGGGTGTATAACTCGAATATCTGAATCCCAATCTTCACCAAACTTGAAAAGATTGAAGAGGGGAGTCAAGAGAAGCTTCTCTGTTGTTTTAGTGTCTCTAGGTGCCTGGGAGCATTTTATAGTAAGTGAACGGGCAAATCAAAACTTGCTAAAAACTCATCCATTTGTATTCATCAGGGCCATTCACTTCTGATGAATACAAACTGATAAATTAGTGATTTTTTCAATTCATTTTTTAATTCATGCCATCCCTAGTCTTACTTATACAGGCAGGCATGTGTCCAGGTAACTCAGCTAAGACACACCACAGCATTAATTAGCAGCCAAAATTGGCAGTGACAACTTACTCAAACTCTATGCAAACACAATTAAGATCCTCTCCAATAGGGATGTATAAGGGTAAAACTTTCATAGTGCTTTTATATTTATTTATTTATTCATTCATTTTATTTATATCCCACCTATCTGTCTTGTAAGGTCTATAGAAATGCTCCACTTTGGCTTTTGAGTTCTATCAGGTACAGATCCTCTCTGTAAGCCTGAAAATACCCAATCTTCTGTTTTTTTAAGTTGTTTTTCCTACTGTGGTTTTTGCCACTACTACCCATTAAACCCTACAGAAACCTCCAAACTAGTCCTGAAAAAAAGAAGGTCAAGGCAACAGACAATTCTGCATTCCAAATGAGGGCAGCAACAACAGTGCATGAGAAAAAAGCATTCAATCATTCACAGACCTTTGCAGGCACTAATAGTACTTTAAAATTTTCATTTAAAATCCCCTTATCATACTCCTTAGCAAAAAAACAAACAAACACACATCATAAATGAAAATAAGAAATCATCACCATGATCATAATCAAAGTAAAACATACTCGCATTCACTAAGGGCAATATAATCAACAGCCATCCAACCCAAAACTATGGCAGATTGAAGAGGTGCTTCTCTCTCCTACTACTTTGACAGCTTTAGTCCAGCAGCACATGCTGTAGTCTACCAAGAGAAGGTCAGACTGGCAGGACTTCTTACCAACAACAAAGGAAATGGAGGGAAATCCCTACAAAAATGAGTGAAAGAAAAATGCAAAAAAGTAGGGTAACCCAAAATACAAGAGATCCACACATTTTCTTACCCTCTCTTTCAGAATCCCAGATCTTTTCTATTTCAGAGGTCCTCTATTATAAAGAAATGAAAGATGCATTTCCCATTTTTCCCCATTTGGGTTAACCCCAAAGTCTCACCTTTATTTTGAAATGTTTATTATAATGAAAAGCAAAGTATATTGTAAGAGACTTTAACATGCTTTCCCAAAATATCCTGTCTTCTCAGCTACCTAATTTTTACTTACAGGTAACTAAAGATTAGTTAGACTTGATTCAATTCAGCTTCTGCTGACTCAATACCATTAACAGGTGGAGAAGTCTCTGCCAAGAGAGACAGAACAGAACAAAACTTGGGGACACTGTATAAAAGCTGGAGGTAACACATTGACGATATAATGCATTGGCTTAAGAGACATGGTAGAAAAAAGTGTGACAGGTCCTGCTAAGAATATCAAGGTAAATGTCTTGAATAGCCTATGAAATGCTTACTTTTACATTTGGGAGGCTGGGGAGACCATCCGAAGTGGTAACACTGGGCAGAGTCAGGCCCAACTCTCGTGTACCCTTTTGAACAGGAAAATCGCACCACATCTCCATTCACAAACTTGTCTTTTCTTTCCTCCACTCCGCCATTCTCCATAACAGGGCCTTCACATTCAATGGCTAAAGAAAGTATTAATTAAAATACGTCAAATATAATGAAATGCATTGAAGAACAAAATCTACCTGTTCAGACAAATTTTTGGCAAAAGTTCCTAAACCTTATTCTAGAGCCATATGTGATCACATTCCTCAGTTTCTTTTTGTGATTACAAGTGCAGTTTCACATTTGTGAATTTAACACTGGATAGTTCAATGGTTTAGGTATCTGGTTGCAGAGCCAGAAGTTGAGAGTTCAATTCCCCACTGTAGCTCCTTGCCAGGGAATGGACTTGATGATCTATAGGGTCCCTTCCATCTCTAAGATTATTATAACACCTTTAGCTCTATCACTATGCTCTTCATTCAGGTTGTCTGCCATTTGTTTTGCCCTTCTTCCCCTCTTTCTGTTAAGTATTACTGAAATCTGTCCCAACCAAAAGGGGAATCTCAACACTGCTTCTGTCAGATCAGGCAGGAAGGCTGGGTCAAATGTGGGAAGCATCATCCTTAAGCCGTATCAAATGCAGACACCTGAATCACCACAGAACTTGACTGGCCTGGAGAAAGAACTGGAGACAGAATTCCTCTAAACTGTAGGAAATTTCCTGATCCTTGAGTGTCCTCTGGTACTGAAATCAGCACCCATGTGGGTAGAACTGAGGGTCTGTTTCCACTGCTGGAATAAACCAGCAGGGGGAACTTTTTAAAAACTTTGGGCTGAAGTCACATGGACTTTTGCCCAGATCCATAACTTTGGTGGCAGTGTGTGCCTCCTCATCCTCCACATCCTCACCATGCTGCTGCCACCTTGAGCTCCCCACCACTCTGATTGCCGCTGTCTCCTCCTCCTATCAGGTGGGTCTGATGGGAGAGGGGTGGGAATAACAGAAAGAGAAGGAGCAGGATGTGAGAGAAACTGCAAAGGCTGAGGATAGGAAGCTGTGGGGACAACTGCCCAAGGGCTGGCCAGGTGGGTGAGCGAGAGGGCAGATGGGTGTGTGTGTAACCTGATGAGAAGAGAGCAGAAGGAAAACCAGAAAGAGAGAGACAAGAGGACAAGAGGGAAAGGGTGATGGTCTGGGGTCAGGTGCCAGAGAGGGGTGGATGGATGAATGAGTGAGTGAGCGAGGGGGGGGACCAGTTGGGTAGGACTGACCAGAAAGGCAAGGAAAGTGGGCAAAGGGGCAATTGGGTGGGTGAAAGGGAGTGCCAGTTTCTTTGGTAAGACCTGTACTTTTTAAAAAAATCCTGCTGTGTTGAAGCAGGAATAAAATAAAACCAGATGGGGCATACAGATATGCAGACTAGATTCCAATGAATTAATTCCACATCTGGCCCAACATAAGGAGCAGAGAAACCCACTCCCATGGCACACTGCTCTGCACATGCATGTACCTCATGTGTACACTAAAATTTTAATCCTTTTTAAAAATGAGAAACCAATATACTGTATTTTTCCATGTATAAAATGTCACTTTTTCCTAAAATAATCAGAGGAAAAACTGAGGGTCATTTTATACATGGAAGTAAGGAAGGGGGGAGGGATCAAAGTGCTTTGATCCCTGCTTTTCCCCTCCATTTCTCTTTGCAAAAGTGGAGGGGAGAAGCAGCTTTTTGCAAAGAAAGTGAAGGGGGAAAGCACTTCCCCCTCCACTTTCTTGTGAGGAAAGTGCTTTCCCCCTCCACTTTCTTTGGGAGCACCTTATACACAGAAAAATATGGTAACAGGGGTTTATTCTTAGCAGGATTGAGCCCTCAAACAGGCAAACAGCTCCTTGCTCATCCAAGCAAGTCTTGGTTATACACATTTGATTAAAAGCAATATCCATTCCTTCAAAAATGGCCCTATGCTGATTTCCCTTCATAAAAAGGAGATAATATTTCATAAAATCTTTTTTGTAAAACTTATTCGGAAGTAAAAGTCTCCTAATCTTACAATTTAGGAAATTTACTTTTTTGAACAATAGTTCAAGCAGACAATGAGATTTTTTTAAATTGGAAGTTGATGACATGCATGCACCACAGAGGAGAGGAAAGCTAGCTGGTGTGACCACACAGATAACCATTCTGAAAAATGCAGGTGAGGGAGCATCTCACCCCAAAATTGTAGGGTATGCCCCTCCCCCCCGTCACAAGCTGCCACTGTCCTGAGGGCAATAGTTATAGATAAGCAACCTCTCTCTTTTCATTGTGGTCTATGAATCAGACATAGAATGAGTAGCCACATGATTACGATGAGATGAAAGTCTTATTGTAATAGGACAGAGAACAACACTGCTCAGTTTAACATAACATTTGCCCTTGAATGGACACGACCAGATAGGCGGGATATAAATAAAATAAATCAACAACAACAACAACAACAACAACAACAACAACAACAACAACAACAACAACAACAACAACAACAACAACAATAATANNNNTAATAATAATAATAATTTGTACTCTGGAAAATGTGGACATGCAACAATGGGCTCAAGTTACAGGAAGCCAAATTTCAGTTGAATATCAGGAAAACGTCCTAAATGATAGAGAACTACGGCAGTGGAACCAATTACCTCAAGAGGTGGTGAATGCTCCAACACTGGAGGCATTCATGAAAAACCTAGACAACCACCTGACAGATGCCCTTTGATTTGTATTGCTTTATTGAGCAGGGTGTTGGACTTGATGGCTTTTTAGGCCCTTTCTAACTTCATTATTCTATGACTCTATGATAAGGGGAGTGGGGCTCCTAAAAAACAAATTTACTTCTATAAGGCTATGAAAATTCTGTCCTGGCTCAGAACTCATATATATTATGCAGAGAGACCACAACATAGATTAGCAGGAATTTATATTAAATTTTATTAATACTTGCTGATGGAATTAGACTTTGGGTACAGAACAGCTCAATATATTTTAGCCAAGACTAAATATTAGAAATCACAGGAAATAGATCTTGCAGAAAATTAAGCTAATGGCTGCCTATGTCGCAGCATATTATGCTAAAAGGTGCTAAAAGTGCTGGTTCTGAAGGATTATTTAGAATTATTGGTGGCAAATGCAATTTCACAGGAATCATCAATGACACCCTACTGCTCGAGTAGGCAATTAACAAAAACAAGACTGATTCACATACATGTAGATACACCTTAAATTTTAGAACTCGTAAGTTTAATTTCATTTATTCTATGTTGTATTGTTCTGCATTGATTTTACATAGTATATTCTGCAAAGGCCAGTACGCTATTCAGTAAATTGAATTTAGATTTACTTACGTAAACAGACAGGCTTTGGGTCCCATCCATTCTCCGTGCATTGTATGTGGCCACCTGAAGTTTCTTGAACAGTTTGAAAACCCTCTTTACATTCATAGTGAAGTTTTTCATTTGAGAAGAAAGTTGTTTTGGATGGGTCAAATACAGCATTCTCTTCAGCTGGCTTTAGGCATGTCTCTGAGGAAACAAAGGATAGAGATGATTAACAATAAGTTCATTTATTCTCATCATATGCTCTAAATCCTTTTTAAAAAATTATCTCTAAGATACAGGTAGGAGGGGGGAGTAATGGGTGAGTTGTCAAGCAACCATGTTGACAGTCCCTGTTTCCCAGTAGGATTTAGGAAGGAAGGAAGGAAGGAAGGAAGGAAGGAAGGAAGGAAGGAAGGAAAGAAAG